AGAGTAGGAAGATCCAGAAGCAGAAGGGAATAAGCAGAAGCTTTGAGGCTATTGAAGCCATGAGTGAACAAAATCACGAGTAAGAGAGACAGGGACTTCTCCAGTGTTAGCAGGAAGGGAAGCCGAGTCCCAGTAGTGGATCACTCTGACAGGGGAGCTTACAGAGAGTAATTGATTCTAGGGGTTTGGGAGATCACCACCAATGTGGTTAGAACTTCAGGGAATCCTGAGCAAGACATAGAGATCCACGAAGCCCAGCTCCACATGCTAGGACTGTTTCTCCCTTTCTGTGAATATATATATATATACACTAGCGGCCCGGTGCACAAAATTCATGCACGAGTAGGGTCTCTAGGCCTGGCCAGCAATCAGGGCCTATCAGGGCCTTCCAGCTGCCAGCCAGGACCTACCTTTCCTGGCTGTCAGCTGCCGGCCGGGGCCATCCTTCATTCTGCACTGCCCACTGGTGGTCAGCGCACATCATAGCGAGCGACCTGGTCTGCCAGTTGAACTCCTGAGAGGACACTTTGAATATTAGCCTTTTATCCTATATAATAAAAGCCTAATATGCTAAGTGTCCAGTCATCTGGTTGGCCGTTCAACCAATCAAAGCATAATATGCTAATGATATGCTAAAGCAGCTCAACTTCTCGCTATGGTGTGCACTGACCACCAGGGGGCAGACACTCCAACTGATAGGTTAGCTTGCTGCTGGGGTCTGGCCAATTGGGACTGAGTGAGACCCTGGACCCCTCCCGCTCTCCCTCCCCAGCTGGCCAACCTCCCGTGTCCCTCCCCGGCCCCAATTGTGCACCGGTGGGGTCCCTTGCCCTGGCCTGCACCCTCTCACAGTCCGGGACCCCTCAGTGGATATTGGAGAGCCCGTTTTGGCCCAATGGCGAAACGACCGGTCGCTATGATGTGCACTAACCACCAGGGGGCAGACGCTAAATGAAGGAGCTTCTCCCTGGTGGTCAGTGCGCTCAGCCAGAAGCCGGGCTCACGGCTGGTGAGCACAGCGGTGGTGGTGGGAACCTCTCCCACTTCTGCAGCAGTGCTAAGGATGTCTGACTGCCGGCTTAGGCCTGCTCCCATCAGTCAGACATTCCCCAAGAGCTCCTGGACTGCGAGAGGGTGCAGGCCAGGCTGAGGTCTTCCCCCCTCAAGTGCATGAATTTTGTGCACCGGGCCTCTAGTATATATGTGTATATATATGTGTGTGTTTGTGGTATATATGTGTGTGTGTGTGTGTGTGTGTGTGTGTGTGTGTGTGTGTATACATATACATATCTATATATATTTCAGAGAGGAAGGGAGAGAGAGAGAGAAACATCAATGATGTTGAGAGAATCATTGATCAGCTGCTTCCTGCACGTCCCCCACTAGGGATCAAACCCGCAACCCAGGCATGTGCTCTGACTGAAAATCAAACAGTGACCTCCTGGTTTTTAAGTTGACACTCAACCATTGAGCCACACCGGCTGGGCTCCCTTTCTGTGAATTCTTAAGGTAGAGCCTCCTTAACTGAGGTAACCTATGTCCCTTGCAGTATGAAAACCCCTAAAAAGTATATTGTCCATTAATTTTTTTTTAAACTCCTTTGGAATGAAAGACTGTCTCTTCACACTTTCAATCTGACTTTCCAGAGATCAACCTAGCTTTGTCCTCAATATTTAACATTAAGACTTCATAACTCTAAACCAGCATTTGTTGGTTGATAAAATACTCCTTAAATGACAGGGTTTCTATACCCCTGTAACCTACATGCATACATTTGTGAATAACCTTTTTGAACTGTCTGAAATTAAATATAATGTGCCTGATGGGGCATTTGAGCTCTGGAATCAGAAATGTAGATTCAAATTCAGTTCTATCACATACTAGCGGTACAACTTTGGGCAAGTTATTTAACTCTCTGTGCCTCAGTTTCCTCATCTATAAGAGGTTTTTGTTGTTGTTTTTAAAAATGTATTTTTATTTACTTGAGAGACAGAGGGAAAGGGAGAGAAACATCAATAAGACAGAAACATCAACATTGATTGACTGCCTCCTGCTGGGGATTGAGGGTCATGTACCCTGACCGGGAATTGAACAGGCAACCTCTTGGTGCATGGTTGATGCTCAACCACTGAGCCACACTGCAGGGCTATAAGAGGTTGTTTTGAATTTTAACTTTAAAGAATTGTTATAAGGATTAAATGGGATATTCCATTTAGAGCACTCAGCACGTCTGACCCAATGTTAACTGTTACTTTTATGCCATCAAGAATATTCTAAAACTCAAGCAATTTATTAAATGTTGTGAAGTCTTGCCCTAACTGGTTTGGCTCGGTGGGTAGAGCGTTGGCCTGCAGACTGAAGGGTCCCAGGTTCGATTCTGGTCAAGGGCATGTACCTTGGTTGCGGGCACATCCCCAATGGGAGGTGTGCAGGAGGCAGCTGATCGGTGTTCCTCTCTCATCGATGTTTCTAACTCTCTATCCCTCTCCCTTCTGCTCTGTGAAAAATCAATAAAAAATATTTTTAAAAAAATGTTGTGAAGTCTTAGAAGTATATGACTGAGAAACATCTGTGTGGCCTGTGGAAACGGAATGAATTTTCAAAATTGGAATCATGGCAGCAAGTTAGTTGTTTGACATTCAAACCCATACCTCTATTCTTGGGCTCTGGGGTACCTCCTCACCTTCCTCCCCTCCTTGTCTTCTGTGTTTGCTGAGAACCTATTTGTCAACATTGCTGGCACGGGGACAAAGAGATGGGAGACCCAGCGTGGTATTGGGGACACAGACACAAACAATCACAACAAACTATGGTAAGTGCCTTGATGGAGGAGGTGGGTGAATTATGTGAGCCCCGAAAAGAAGCCTCTCACCGGGTGTGTGGGGTGGGGACCACTGAGAAGGGGAAAGCAAGGGGGCTTTTTGTTAGAGTAGGTACAGAGGTTGGAGGTTGAGTACAAGGGAAACCAGGTGAAAAGGGAGTTCCGAACAGCAAGAACAGCATCTTCAGAAGGCAAAGGATGAGAGGGAAAGTGGCGTATTCAAGGAATCACAAGTGGTTCAATAAGCCAGGAAAACATAACACTTACAGGTGAGTTGCAAGAGATCAACTGAGGAGAGAAGCAAGGACTAGCATGGTTAAGGTTATATGCCATGAATTTGTCTTGAATGGTTTCACACCCTGATCAGACTTGCATGTTAGAAAGATCACTCTGATATCAGAGTAGAAGTCTGATGGAGCCACATAAAACTAGGAGCCACATAAAACTAGAAGGAGCCACGCAAAACTAGAAGCAGGGACATGATTCCGGAAGCTCTGTAAAAATGGATGGGAAGTAAAGTAGAAATGGACATGGAGCTGGGCAGCAGACCTTCAGAGATCTGAAAGAACAACACAAATTATTAACTGGCTGTATGTAATTTATGGTAAAGGGAAGTGATTAAGAGGACACGCTTATGGCTTGAATAAGGGAGTGGATCATGATGCTATTAACTGAGATGGTGAATCAGAAGGAGGATGTGGCTTGGGAGGGTGTGTGTGTGGTTGGAGGTGGAAGAGGGTAGAGGTAAAGAGTTCAATTTTGGATGTGTTGAGTCAGAGGGTAAATGAATAAAAGGTGAGGAAGTGAAAAGCAAGCATGTGGACTGGACGGCTCTTTCCAAAAAAAATGTACATGTGCAAGCCAAGTCTTATATGTGTGTTTCTGTAAGTTCAGGGGAAGATTTGTGGGGCTTTTGTGCATGGTGGTCTCCGTTCTCTGAGTAGTTGGAGGTGATGTGATTTTCTAAAGGGTAAGTGGATGATGAATAACCATGATGTGGAGAGCAGTAAAGTTTAGAATAGCCATGTCACATGAGTGAGAAGCTGATTGCAGACACGGGAAAGATGGTTAGAGACTATAAATATAGAAAGACACCAATTCACGCGCCTGAGAGATTCCCTCCAGCACCCCCCAGGAACCTGGGTGTTAGCCAGGCTTTTCAGAGGTTGAGAGAGGGCTGGAGACTTCCTTTTCTCAAGCCCCCAGTCTACTCAAGCATGCTGGAATGTCGAGAGGGTTACAAAACCAAGGTATGTTTCAATTGTTTACACTTAGCAAATTAATGCTTTTAACACACAACGATTACAGTGCAATGTAATTGTGTGCTATTTGCCAGATAATTACAGAATTTACTTAAAACATTAATTCATAATGCATTAAAGAGTGTCCTTTGGTAACAGGACAAAGTTTAAAGTTCTACAATGAATGCCTTCTTGTACTGGTGCAGGTGTAGATCTCTGGGATGATAGTATAATCTCAGTTTGACAAAATGTCTAAATGTGGGGCCCAGGCCCCCATAAGCCTTGGATTTTGGATGGACAAGACAGATGACTGGATTAATTCAGTTTAAAAGATTCTTTGAAATACATGAGGCAATGGAATTGAGGCCATAGATGACTAAGAGAGGTTGAAGCAATGTTATGATTTCTAAACTGAATTGGGAAAGAAAGGAAAACAGGAGTGATAGGTTGGTGGGAAAGAGAGAGGTTAATAATAAACGAGGGGTGAGTAATGAAACCAGAGAACCAAATGGTTATTGAGAGAATAGTATAACCTAGTTTGATTTCATAGCTGAAGTATTTCTGGACAATGATGGGGTGTGGACATAGGAGTAGGTGACCCAAGTGGAGTGGAGATGAGGGTCCATTGTAGCTGAGAAGTTCAAGTCATTGCAAGACTAGCGTTTTGAGATAGTGATCTCCATGGACATTGAAAATGACCCAGGAAAATGGTGGGTCTTTGTCTGAAGAAAGCAACTCCCTATTTCAAGGTGCCTTACATTGATAATTGCTCCAAAAGTGGGGCTGGAAAGGAGGAGAGGGGCAAAGGATTGAATACATGTTATCGTTATTCAACACTAACCTGTGATTGAAACTTTATAGATGAGGAATAGTAAATTACAAAATCTTGGTCGATGCTTCAGCAGTGCTTACAGAACATAAAATCACTCCAAACAGCCTTTTAATCCACTTATCAAAGCAATTTTGTTCCTATTTTAATGGCAGGTGAAACAATATTGAACAAAGCAACCTCTGCTGCACCCTAAGCCCTTTAATTATAGTGTTCATAGTTGTAAATGCTCTAGTTAAGGGACAGCTTCCATTACAACCCCAGGTTTGTAATCACTTTGGTTCTTCGAGTTTGTTTTTCAGTTGAAGTTTTTAATGCATACTTTCTGTCCAAAGGCTTTGTGTGGGTTGATTACTGGACATGAGAGGAAGGGACTGCCCACAGGATCCTGGGGGAAGCGGGAGAAGTTGCTGCAAAAGAGAGGCCATGTCACTACATGGGAAGTAAACTGTGGACCTGGACAATGACAGCTGACATTTATGCAGAGCTTATAGGCCAAAAGCTGAGCTAAGTACGTATTTCATGTCCGTTGACTCATTTAATGCCTCAGCAGATGAAGTGGCTGTTCTTACCGGTGACCACAATGTTAAAGAAATTAAAGAACAGGTAATAGGTAACTTGTCCAATGTCTCACAGCTAGTAAATGATGGCACTGGAATCTGAACTCAAATCTCTGTAACTCCAGAACCTACACGCTTATGGTTAAATGCACATTTTGGTATGGGGTGGAGATAAACCTAAGGAGCATCTAATAAGTAACTTGTCCAATGTCTCACAGCTAGTAAATGGTGGAACTGGGATCTGAACTCAAATCTCTGTAACTCTAGAACCTATACGCTCATGGTTAAATGCACTTAACATTTTGGTATGGGGTGGAGATAAACCTAAGGAGCATGGGGGGCTTCACAAGGGGGAATCCCTTTCTTCAGCTGGAACTGGGGTCCAGAGCAGCCGAGCAGAGCCCTCCTTTAGAATCTGGAGGGCCCAGCCTCTTCCCGGGACCCCATCCCCCCCACACCAAGTGATACAGAGCCTTCCTCAGAACTCTCCCGGGCATGTCCTGGCTGGAGGAAGATTATCTTTTTGCTCAGGGGACCTTTTCTTGCTTAAACCTATTTATACATCTGCTCCACTAGCACGGCAGACAAAAATCATTAAAACAAGTTAGGCTTCTTTCAGAATGGATTTAAAATCAGAGGGATGTTGCACAATCCTGTGAATATGCTAAAAACACCGAGTTGCTTGAACGAATGAGTCCTGTGGCCTGTTTATATCTCAATAAAGTTGCTTATTTTAATAATCAGAATGCATGAATTAAAAAAAAATTTTTTTCATTTGCTTTTAACGATTTCAAATGGACTCTTCGCACGGCCACTTAGAGAACCAGGTGGCTGGGGTGAGCGCCTCTCATTCCTCACTCAGCCGACATTCCCTGAGTCCACCCTGTGCCAGGCGCAGGGATAAGGGGATGGACTCCCGTCCCCTCGAGGATGAGGGCGGGTTCTCAGAGGAATCCTCGCAACCGATAAGCACTGACTTTTTTTCCCCCGCTGAGATTTCATGTCTATGCTGCAAGTTTCAGTGTTAAAAAAGTTTCCCTTTTTTTTTTTTTTAAAAAAAGGCAACATTGGTGGGTTTTTTTTAAAAAAAGTGCATGACATCAGTCACAGATCTAGTCTCAAAACTTCAAATCACCCAGACCGTTTATCCCCGGGAAGGGGGGTTTTTGCACAGTCCAAAGTGGAAAAAAACCAAGTTGCCGTTCAAAAGAATGGACCCTTCTCCAAACCAGCGCCTGTTCACGGGTATGCAACCGAACCCCGACCTGTCCTCGAGGCTTTCCTCCCGCACGGCCCTCCGCCGGCTGCGGGTGAGCTCGCGCGGGCGGGGGAGCGGATTGACACCTCCCCGCGCGCCCTGTCCC